ATTAATAATATTAATAAGTCACCAATCTGTTATCAATGAACATAACAACCTCAGGTGACTTCAAATTGGGAAAAGACAGTACTTTTTGACTTCCGATTGTTCAAAACTTATTAATTACTGAAGAAATTCCTAAGTTTTATGCTGCTGATTTCACTTGGAATGTAAATGCCGATAAATGTTTATGAAAGCATTAAACCGGAAATGACGTAAAAGAGGAAGTCAAATTATTTCGTTTCCAGTCTCTACTCAGCATAAGAAAACGAGGAAAGAGTTGTCAAACATGGCGAAGTTTTGTAGCTAACAAGATGGCAATTTCTTCTGTTAAACCTTGTGTTTTGCTAGTTCTTTTGTAATATAATGGACTTGGTTGGCTWTCGTGTAGTCCGAGGGCCAGACTGGAAATGGGGAAAGCAAGATGGCGGCGAAGGACACGTTGGAACTGTGAGGAATTTTGAAAGCAATCAAGAAGTAGTTGTTGTTTGGGATAATGGCACTGCTGCGAATTATCGATGTGCTGGCGTGTTTGACTTGAGGATTTTAGACAGTAGTCCTACAGGTAAGATAATTTCACTAACCAAAACATTTTTTTTTTTTTTTTGAACAACTAGAAGCATTTTTGCCGTCCATTGTAAACATAAGCTTGATTTTATCCGCCATGTTACCTTAGATGTTCATGTTGGATTGAAAGGAAGCCAAAATGTCTGTAAGTTTTATATAGAATATCTGAGATTTTAGTCCTCTAACACAAATTTCTATTTTGCTAAATGCTAGTCATTGGTCTTTTAATACATCGGATTAAAACGACGTAACTGTACTGTAAAGAAAACTGAAGTCTTATTCATAGAAAACTACATGTACTTACATTGAACTTATTGCGTTAAGATGTACAGGAAGTCATAATATAAGACTTAAGATGTGCAGTAAGCTTATAAGCTATAAAGCTTCACTACAGTGTATTTGGGTGGTAACACAGTGTAGAAATCTCTTGTGTTCTTTTTGCAGTAATTATTATGTAACTATCTATTGAATTAGATTAATATATTTTAATGTTTTCTTTGAGCATAATTACTTAACCTCACTGTGGATGAATGAAATAGACCATATAAAATACAAAGTAACATTTACATTGACTGGAAAATAAAACAGATTTTATCAGGACCCAGTTGTTCACACRCTAGATTAATTTCAACCACATGTTGACAATGAAAACAGATTTTTCATCATTTCGAGGAACATCTGTTCAGGATGTGCAATAATGTTTAGCATTGAGTTTGTCTCTTCATTAGTATTATACAATTTCTACTATTAGAAAATTTCAGCTAGTTTATTAACTATATCCTGAGGCTGTCCTTTGGCGCTTTTAAAACTCTTAGATATTCATTAGCATAAGGGAATTATTGCAAATACATAATAATATAATGTTGTATTTGAGAGCATACATGAAGCCCAAGAAAATGTTAAACATGTATAAGGTTTACCTCAGCAGAAATGGTAGCTTTAGTGTAAGGTTTCCTTCTGTTTTGTGTAATCTGTATTGAGCTGTCTATCTTTTGTATGTGTCTTGGTTTTTATTGCGTAAATAATAACACAATTCATTTTGAACATTGAATGAACATCTAAGACTTTTATATTAAGTCTGAATCCTTTTAATAATGAAAAACAATTCCCTTTGATTTAGTAATGAGATTATTGTTGAAAACATTTATTAAGAATTTATTGAATGAACATTATTTATTTTGGGGCTAATATCACAATCTTATGTTTGCAAGTTTTCGATCTTGATTGACAGGACTATTTTTTTCATGGATCATTATGTATTCAAAGTAATATTAAAGTTGGAGGTGTAAATTATTTAATCCCTGTACGGACAAAAGAAAATCTGTGTGATTCTAAATAAGCAAAAGAGCATTAATTTCATATTACACACAAATTAAAAGTGTTTTTAATTAGTATTATCAGTTAATCACCAGGTTTCTGTTGTTTTTTGTTTTTTTACAGAGATATGCTGCCTGTCCCTTGATTACTCATTTTGAAGACTTCTTTGTTGTTCTCTCATTTACATCCTTTCTTCATTTTGATATTTAGATTTAGGTTTTTATTTCCTTTATTGGCTACCGGGGTGTTTAGCTGTATATGATTTTATTCACTCAACAGCATCTACAAAAACTTAAGAATGATTTGACAATGCTGATGAATAAAACATCAGAAATAATGTCAATCATCTAGCTTAATAGATAGCAAACTATTATTAGACTATAGCCAATGGGAGTTTTAATGGATTCCTTAACATTGATGACATTTTAATAAAAATATTGTCATTATTATCATTTATTTATTATAATAATGATTTATAATTATTAATTTATTTTTACCAGTATTGTTATTTAAAAAAGGATTTCTTATCAGTGCAASTGAATCTTATGTTGTTTCAGGAGTTAAACATGATGGGAGCATGTGTGATGGCTGTCGAATGCAACCAATCATTGGACTACGCTGGAAGTGTGCTGAATGTGCAAACTACGATCTTTGCTCTTTGTGTTACCATAGTGACAAACATCAACTACGGCATCGGTTTTACAGGATTAGTCAGCCTGGTGCAGAAAGGTATGTCATGCGTCTTTTTGATACCAATTTATTACATGTACATTGATTAATTAAGTGATTGATGATTGATTAATTAATTATAATTATTGAGATATGTCAAAGGGGGGTGCACATTTGAAAGATTTCATTWACCAGTACTCATATTACACTGTGGTGAATCTAGCCCTAACATAAATAATTTGTGTTTCTTTCATCAGAATGCTTGTTGAAGCAAGAAGAAAGAGCAAGAAGATCACAGCACGTGGAATCTACCCTGGAGCAAGGGTAGTTAGAGGGGTGGACTGGCAATGGGAAGACCAAGATGGTACTAAATCTTTATTTCTTGTGTATTTTATAACTGTATTACGTTCTTTTACAGAGGACTGCAATAATCTAGATGTCATGTAACCATGAACAAACAATTAATGATATTTGTATTGATGACAAGGTTCCTAGATACAATGTTTTTGCAATTCTTTTTACATGGAAAAAGTAAGCCATGATGGTGACTTACTTCAGCTATGATATCTTGCTGCAATGCAAAGAAATAATTGACTTTTGAATGACTAAGGGAACTGGGAATCGGACAATTGTCTCATAGTTGGCACCTCAAGCTTGTTATATAAAAATTCTGCATTTTTCAGGGGGTCCAGGTCGTCGAGGAAAAGTAACAGAAGTTCAGGATTGGAGTGCAAACAGTCCTCGCAGTGCAGCGTATGTCATTTGGGATAATGGAGCTAAGAACCTGTATAGAGTTGGTTTTGAAGGAATGGTTAGTATTGATGACTTGTGGTTGCTATAACCAGTAATAGA